TTTTTGCACCTTTAATTTCATTATTCGTGCTATTTTGTGAATGCCCTTACCAAAACTGACAGATATGTGGCAGATATATGTCACAGTTCTGTAAAATATCTGCAAAATATATGCACGAAAGTATCTGTCACATATCTGCAACATATAGGAATTTGGCCCCATAACATATCTGTCACAGTTATGTGACAGATATCTGTCACAGTTATGTAACAGATATCTGTCACAGTTATATGACAGATATCTGTCACATATCTGCAACATATAGGAATTTGGCCCAATAACATATCTGTCACAGTTATGTGACAGTATAGTTTCCCTACAGATAAAATTATCTGTATATTATCTGCCAAGCAGATATGTCACATAACTGCAACCAAGTGAGTTTTATTTCTTGCATAAAACTATTTCCTCTTACTTCTGCAACATCAAGTTGCTGCAAAGGTACCTCTGTCATGTTCACTTGAAGCCGTAATAATTTAATATGAAGAAATACTAGATCAGATTATTAAATGTATTTATTAGTAAATATATAATTATAGGTTACACATAATAATTGTGACCCTCCTTGGGAAAACGTACGTTAACGATTTTACATTAAAACGGGCAAAAAAAACGGTTAACGAACGGATAGTAAACGTTTTGTCAAATCGTGTCAACGGATCATAAAAACGTTTTAGACGTTTTGAGTAAAAAATACGAACGGGTAAAGACAAAAAATTAAACGGCTCTACGATCGAACGGCTTTAACAAACCGTTCGAACGAAATTAAGAAACCGTTCAAACGATATTCGGTAACCGTTTCAACGGATCTGCACAGAATGGTATAAAGCAGTGAACAATAATATACAAAAACGGGCAAGTAGGCTATACACTGATCCAGAATTAACCAACACACATTTATCCAAAAGCATGCGTATAAGCACAAACAAAATAGATCACTTTGGTGTTTATAAACGTTTCAAGTTTTATCGATTTCCGTACCAACAAATTAAAAGACGCTAAAGCCGGAGACACGCGGCGGTGTTTTTGCATAACACGACACAGCTGATATACATGAGACTTAAGCCCGTGACTTAAGTAAGGTCTCTACTGTAAACGCGAGTATATACGCAATCAGTTGTATTTATAAGGCCTAAAACTAAACGTATAGTACCTGTAGCGATACGAAACAAGAACTAGAACCAATATCTGTGTTGATGGAACCTGTCGCGAGTGCTATATTGTCTCAATTATAGTAAATGGCTCAGTATCAAAAATCGGGTGTCCATTATAGCGCATTGGTAATTTCCTCTATATTAATGCCTGTGAAACACGGCACTGAGATCTAAAATGCTCAGTGCATGCTGAGTTAAATTATTGTTACTAATATTTTCCATAATTCATATATTAGTTAGCTCCAGAATATTAGGGAAAGATGCAGTCACAACGGATTTAATAGCGATAGGCCTATATCTGTTAAAGTAAAAGGTCAAGGTGTAAAGGTATATAAACCAACTATAAACAGTTTGAACAGCAAATAAACACAGCATGCACGCAGCAATTAAGGTATATTGCAGAGTGCAGAAAGCAGAATAATGACGATATATTGGTATACTGAAACATTTGATGCTTTCCTTAAAATGTACTCCATAAACATGTACTTCCTTGAAATGCACAAAATCCTGTGAATTTAAAGTCATTATATCACGCTAACTCACTTATCATTCATGTAGTGCTACATACTGTACATGCACCAACAAAAAGACGCTCACATATCCTATGATTATAAGCATGAAGTATTTGGCTTCGTTAAAGTTCGTTTTATAAGTAAGCCGATACCTTAATTTACATGTTATATATAATATATATTTGCTTGTAAATCTTTTATTCACTTAATTTCTTCCAAATATCGTGTGCTAGTTTATATAGTAGCTACATCTGTTTATTTCAGCCTAATCAAGAAGACTTTATCGACCAATTCCCTATTAGCTATGTTTTGCGCAATCACAACATCGCTATTTATAAAACGTCTTTATAGCATAAACAACTAGTATATATATAAGGCTGTTCCTGACTGGAACGTTTAGAAATTCCGCGCCTGAGATTTTGAAAATTTAATAGTATTGTAAATATAGAAAGTGTTAAAATTGCGCGGTCGATATCTCCGCCGCGCGATACAGACATTCCACACTGGACTGGCTGTTTTCCCCTATTTATTTTGGGAAATGCAAAAATAGCTTGCAACACCTGAATATACCCAACCTTTCCTGGTGGTCTTCTATTTTATTTTATTTAAAGAAATCAGAAATAAATAATGATTATTGAATCGGCATAAGTAGTTGACCACCAGG